GTAGCCCAGGCTGGCCTCTAACCATCCTCCTGCCTCAGTCTTCAGGGACTGCATTGCCTCCACACATACCTCTAGTTCTTCATATTATTTTCATTTTTCTTCTTCTTCTGCCATTTTGAGTCAGGGCCTCCTCTGTAGCCCAAGCTAGCTTAGAACTCTTGATCCTCCTGCCTCACTCTCCTCAGTGCTTCAGTTATAGATGTGCACTACTGCATCTGGCTTTTATTTTTTTCTTTTTTTTTTTAAATGCAACATACAAACTTTATTTAACAAAAGTAACAGGTAAAGTCAAACAGGTACTTATATTAAAAGAAAAACTGTCCAGAAGAAATTAACACCTTACAATAACCTACTTGCAGTTGCATTTAACTGAGCTCTGTTGCTGTGAAGAATACAGCTCATGCACAGGTTTGGATGAATGACTTGTACATTTTTCAAGTATTCACTGAATACTACACCTTATATACACATATACATTAAATTTGAAAAAGATTTAATTGACGATCCCAGACATTTCATTTTTGTTGTTCCTTCGGAAGAGGTTGTCTAAAGAGAAGAACATGTGGTTCTGGCTCATGAATCATGTAATGAACCCAGCCCAGACTCTGCTGGACACCAAGTCTCCTCCACTCCTCTTCAGACATCAGATGAGTTTTGGGTACTTGTTTAGAAAGTTCTCTGGGTAACATGACATGCCGGTACTCGTAGTGCTCGTCGAAGTACTTGTCCAAGTAATAGATCTGCTTGTGGGCCATTCTACCAGTGCGCAGATGGGCGGGAAAAAAAAAGAGAGAGAGAAAAGTGTGAAGAGCAGGCGCAGCGGGTCCTCCCCAAGCCAGGGAAACGACTCGACTGAGACCCTTATTTTTTTCGATGTTGAGGATCAAACCCAGGGTTTTGCACATTCTAGACAGGCACTCTGCCACAGAGCTCCATCCCCAGCCCTTGTTTTGTGAGATGGCCTCACCATGTGGCCCAAGTCTGCCTGGAACTCATGGTCTTTGTGCCTCTGCCTCATGAGTGCTAGGATTACAGGCACATTATTCTAAGTACATTATTCCAGCACATTATTCTAAGTATTAAGCCAGTATCACAAAGTTTTATTACTACTTAAGAAAACCTATCATTGGGGTTGGCAAAGGGTCTCAAGTGTGACGCCCTGAGTGTAAACCCCAGTACTGCCCCCCAAAAGTCAAAAACCTATCATTAATAATATTTTTCCTCCATTGATTTTTGTATACCTATAATTTCTGCAGCCTCTAGCCCCTTCCAAGTGTTGTACTGTACTGATGTTAAAGCAATATGCTTCGGCCATTTCATAATTTTGGCCCATCCTGTAACTGTTTTATTTTTATTAGGTTTTTTTTAATTTTGGTGGTACTGGTGTTTGGACTCAGGGCCTCATGCTTGCTAGGCAGGCACTTTACCACTTGAGCCACTCCACCACCCTGTTTTGTGTTAAATATTTTCAAGATAGGGTCTTGTGAACTATTTGCCTAGACTGGCTTCAAACTGCGATCCTCCTGATCTCTGCTAGAATTATATCGTGAGCCACTGGCTCCTGACCTGTAACTGGTTTATACTGCACTGCTTATCATTTGTGCTCATTTTATTGTTTGTTTTTACTTTTTTGTTCTTTTTGGTTTTACTTCCCATTACTTTTTAAATTTGTACACACAATGATTCCTTCACCTAGGTAAACAAATGTTATAAAAGGTTTATAAGCGGATCTCTCTGTTCAGCGCTCCTGGACCCTCAGTGAGGCACCTTAAAGATACTCGGTTGCCAGCCTTTGCGTGACTCCTCCACTTGGGTTTGTCTTCATGCCAAACAATATGCTTATATGCGGTTTCTTTTCCATTTTGCTATTTAAAAAGAATAAATGCCTTCATGTGGTTATGCAAAGAAGTATATAAGTGCACAATGCAAAGTTTCTTTAATCTCCCTAGGTCCTGTCTACCCAGGTTGTGGTTTCTGATTTTTACAAGCCATTTGTAGTGAGTAGACACCGCTTGCCAACTCTGCCTGGAAATGTGGAGAGTAGAGCCTCCACACTGGAGGCTGAGTGCGCACATCTGAGTTTGATAGGGAGCGGTCAATGCCATCCTTCATCAGCAGTACCAGCGTATACTCATGAGCAGTGTGTCTTCAGGCTTTGGCTTCAATGCTGGCACTAATGTGAAACATGGTACCTTGGTATCCTTTGAATTTATGGTGTTGTCACAGACTTCTGTTTATCAGTATTTGAGATTTTCTGTAGACTTCCTCACTTACGAAGACATAGCTTTTCTTATAGTACCTCTGCGAATATGTCTGTTCTCTCAGAGTCGTGGCAGTGATCAGAGTTCCTCCTCACACCCCGTACCAATACTTGCCTTTTTAAAACAGGTCGGTCTTAAGGGAAATTTTCATTCCATACTGCTATTGTAGAGTGTTGGTTATGTTTTTTCTCTCTTGTATCAACAATTGATTCAACCTAATTTCGTGTTTTATCACTGCTATTTCATGTATTACCATCTTTCTTAACTTTTTTTCCACAGAACATTTCTGGATGATTGTCTCAGGAATTGAATTCGTCCTTGTCTTCCCATTGAAATGGTTGACTGGCTGCATATAAACTTCTAATTTCACAACCACTTTTCCCCCAGAATTTATTGCTACATTATCTTCTAGTGTCCAGTATTGCTCATTTGTAGCTCAGTGTCAATATAACTCACATTTACTTGCCCATGATCTAGCTTTACTGTCTAGATGCTTTAGCATCCTCTGGGTTTTATTTCTTGTTTTTGCTTTGTTTCCCTTGAAGTCCTTAGGCTTTACAAGGGTGTGCTTTGGTTGTGGGTCTTCACGTACTGTTTCTAGCATTCAGTGGGCCCTGAATCTTGAATTCTGAGAAACTTTTTTTTCTGTTACTTCTTTGATCATTGTCTCTCACTTCATTGTATCTGTACTATTCTCATGATAATCCCAAAAAATGGGCTTTTACTTTTATCTTTCCATTTGCCTATCTTTTTAATCTGCATTCTGTGAGACGCTCAATCTTCTGCCTTAACCATTTTTTCATTCATTTTGCTGTTTGACAACCTGAGACTTAGCTATGAAACAACTTACTTAACCTCCTTCAGCATGATTTCCTCATGTGCAAAATGAGGGTTATGCAGCAGAGCCCAAGTGCTTCAGTTGGTATTACTTATTTTATTAATTTAGAAGAATTAGAATTATTTTTCATAGCAATGTGTGTATCGTATTGTTAGATTGTGTTTAAATGTGATATCCTTTCCAATTTCTCTGGAATTTTAATTAAGAACTCTCAGAATTCCATTTCCTTGGCTGCGGGGGGTGTGGCTCAAGTGGTAGACGGCCTGCCTGGCAGACGCATGGCCCTGAGTCCAAACCCCAGTACCACCAAAAATAAATAAAATTCAGTTCCTCTGTTCACCGTTCAAATTTGCGCCTCTCATTGGTTTTTATTTTGTTTTAGTCTGCTCATGTATTTTTAATTGTCTGCTAATATGTTTTTCAAAAGTCTTGTGTTCCCAGTATGATGCTGGATTATGCATCCTCTGCCAGTGCTCAACCACTGCTGACTGGGCTTGGGAGGAGCCAATAAGAGTCCAGATGGTGGATGGTGAGGCCATTTTTTAAGGCCTTTTCTTTGTGCCAGTAAGTCACCTAGGGTCTGCCCTGCTTCTCCAGCTCCAGAACACACACTTTAGAGGTCATCTTGAGGCTTTCTGCTGGGCACGTATGGATAAATCAGCCCTCTTGTTGTTAGGTTCGGCCTTACCTTAACCTCTGCTTCATTCCTCAGCCCGATACTGTATAGACTCTTTCTTTGGCAGCTCATCTGATTTGTTCTTGAGGCCACTGCTGTTAGCCGCCCAATACCTCATGTCTGGGGAAGGGGAGTTGGGAGAGATGCTGCTCGTGGCAACAGCCACTCGCCATTAGGAAGGCCTGACCGGAAATAACAGGCCCGTCTTCATAATTGCCAACTCTGAGTCTGGGATTTGAATTTTTAGGATTTCTAAGAAGAATTTCTGACCCCAGCAGAGGGCCTTCTCATGTACATGAGTTGAGCCATGCATTTCTGTCTCTAGCTTTCCCATCATTCCTAATCCATCTGTTCTTTATCATCTGGGAATTCAACACTTTGATTCTGCTGATAGCAACGTTTCTTTTTTTCCAAGACTTCCAGATTTCTTTTTGTCATCTCGCTGTAATAGTAGGATATTCACAATAATTGTTCTAACGCACTAAGACCTCTGTTCCTAGCATAGCTCTCCCAGGATTCCAAACCTACATAGCTCATGCTTACTGGACACAGGAACATCCCACCAGCATCACAAATTCAGCAAGTTCAATTTTGAGTTTGTCATCTGTCCCCCTCCTTCACTTCAGCCTTTTACTTGCTTCCTATCCTGTTACATAGCACCAGTATGCTTGTCACTCCGGCAGGGAACTTGGGGAGCACGCTTGGTGCTGCAGGGAATTTGGGGGGCATGCTTGGTTCTTTCCTTGCCTCTAACACTTAATTTGTCATCACATGATTTCGATGAGTCCCTTTCTCTCTCAACCATCGCCCTTACCATTTCTCTCCTGAATTACTATACAGCTGTCTCTTTACTAAAGTCTTTTTGGTGGTGTGAGTTTAAATCTTCAATAATTAGTTTTCAGTCCCTACAGAGTTTAGCCCTAAGTCCTTAGTGTTAGACATCAAGCCTTTTGCTTGTGCTCCTGCTTCCTCTCCAGGCTGCATCCCTCACTATTACTACCGTCTGTGCACGCACGTGTGCGTGTGTGTGTGTGTGTGTATGTGTATGTGTGTGTGTGTTTGGACATTGAACCAGTGTTGTAATACTGAGCTTCACCCCCCAGACCCACTGTTACCTTTTTAAAAAAAAATCTCCTTCACAATAAGCTGGCTTTATTTTTCTCAAGCATGTCATATTTTCTCTCCACATTTCACCTTTTTTATTTTCATTCTTTTTTCTCAGAAATCTTCCCAAGACCCCAAGGTTTGACTCGAGTGTCTCTGCTCTGCTCCCGTGGCTGGTTGGCATGTCTTTTATTGTACGTCCTGTACTGTGCATGCACCTTTGCCACTTAACTTGGTACTATCATTGTCTTTCATGCCGGGAAGCTCTAGCTTATTAAGCAAAAATAATTCTATTTTCTTCCTTATAGCCCCAACACCTATGAAAGTAAAGTTACCAATTAAATAGATATTTAATCAAAGTGAAATGAAGTTTTGTTTGTGGCAAGGATGTAGAATTCATAGCCTTCTGCAGGATTAGTAAAGAATATTTTACTGGCTATGCTTAAAAACAGAGAGGGAATGTTTGTCTTTTGAATCTAGGTCTCCCTATCCTGACATTAACCCAAAAGACATGACTATAAAAACAAGCTGAATTTCATGCTAGTTGCTAAATCTTAGGACCTTAGGCACGCCTGTTCTGAAATCTTAAAATCTACCCTTTATTCTTATCACTAAACTTTCTGTTTCCTAGGAGAAGTTGAATGAAGATTTGGAGGAAAATCTTGAAGAAAAAGGACTTCAAGATCTGTTATATAAGCTATTCTGCTGGCTAAGTTTGGAAGAGATGGCCAGGTAATGCCTGGGAGTCAGGATTATATTGTGAATTTTCAAGGGAAGTGAACAGGGTTCCTGACCTAGTTTCTTGTCAAAGTAGAGAGAAGCATCTTTTATATTTCCAGAAACAAGAACAGTGTGGCAACTCTTCAAAGTGATTTCACAGACATTGACAGTGAAAAATACTTGTCTTTGAAAGTCCCAAGGCAAATGGCCACACAAGACTCCTCTGTGAAGTTCTGTAAGAGTGAGCCTCAGGAGAGCAAGGGTTTTGTAACTGAAGAAAGCACTGAGGGAAAAGTGGTAAGCAGCGAAAGTCTTCATGTGGACAGTTGTTCAGAGACCCTTCAAGTTAAACTTGTGTCTGATGTGACAGAGCCATTGTTTGATGGTGAGGCACCTTGCCAGAATGGCCAGTTGAAAGAATCCTTAGATTCCTTTGACTATAATGGTAAAGACATTTATAAATGGAAATCACAGTTGATCAATTGCAATCATCAGAGAGCTCACACAGAGAAGTCCTGTAACCATAATGACTGTAGAAAAATTCTTGATACCAGCCCAGTTGGTAATCCTTGTGAGAAAATCCACATTGCAGAGAAACTGTACAAATGTGGTCAGTGTGGGAAGCACTTCAGTCGGAACTCAGAACTACTACTTCATCAAAGAGACCACACGGAAGGAAAACCCTACAGATGTGAGCAGTGTGGGAAGGGCTTCACCAGGAGCTCAAGTCTGCTCATCCATCAAGCAGTCCACACAGATGAGAAACCTTACAAGTGTGACAAATGTGGAAAAGGCTTCACCAGGAGCTCAAGTCTGCTCATCCATCATGCAGTCCACACAGGTGAGAAACCTTACAAGTGTGACAGGTGTGGCAAGGGCTTCAGTCAGAGCTCTAAACTGCACATCCACCAGCGAGTGCACACGGGAGAGAAGCCCTATGAGTGTGGGGAGTGCGGAATGAGCTTTAGTCAGCGCTCAAACCTGCACATCCACCAGCGAGTGCACACGGGAGAGAGACCCTACAAGTGTGGGGAGTGTGGGAAGGGCTTCAGCCAGAGCTCCAACCTTCATATTCACCGGTGCATCCACACAGGAGAGAAACCCTACCAGTGCTACGAGTGTGGGAAGGGCTTCAGCCAGAGCTCGGACCTCCGCATCCATCTCAGAGTCCACACTGGGGAGAAGCCCTATCACTGCGGCAAGTGTGGCAAGGGCTTCAGCCAGAGCTCCAAACTTCTTATCCACCAGCGGGTGCACACGGGAGAGAAGCCCTATGAGTGTGGCAAGTGTGGAAAGGGCTTCAGCCAGAGCTCCAACCTTCACATCCACCAGCGGGTTCACAGGAAGGATTCCCATTAAGTGATGTGAGCCTGTTCAGAGCTTCAGAATACTTGTACTGTGAAGACTTAAATAGTTTTAATAGCCAAGGATGCAGCTCAGTGATAATGTGCTTGCCTAGCATATGCAAGGCCTGGGTTCAATCCCTAGCACTGGGAAAAAAAAAAAAGTTCCCAGTTTAATACATTTAACTCTTTCCTTTATATTTGACAAAGGAAAGAGATAGTAAAGGTTATCAAGATAGTAAAGGTTATCGAGATAAGTTCCCTTGCACTTTGCTATGCTAACTAATGAGTGGACTGTTGTAGTTCCACAGATGGGTAGAGTAAAAACCTGTATGTTGCAATTCAGTCAGTGTTGTTAGACTACATATCCCACCCAGCATTTTTAACTGCAAGAACTTCATATTTGCCCATGCAGGACATGTTCTTCTTTTTTATATTCGCTGAGAATTTGGAACTCTGGTTTCTCTTCAAATTACATGCTTTGTGTTTTTCATATTTCCTTTAAGTCCTAAGTATCCCTCTCTAAACTATGATTGTATAACATCCATTTGAGCCCAAGGTGGAGTTGAGCTATAATGGACCTGGAAACCTCATGTGTTTAATGCAAAAATGTGCATCATTTTGTAGCCACACACCAAGAAGAGTTACTCATTGCTCCCTGCCCATAGATATTTTGTCACAAAGTTTAACACCACCTTCACTGGTTCTTTAGAGACATACATACATACTTCTTCCTGAGTAACTGGTTTATTGGGGGTACTTCCAGAATGAAAGTAAGGGAAGGTACAAAGCAACATGCCCAAAGTAGTTGTCAGAGTAAAGCTGGCACTGATGGAGGGCACCTGAGAGCGGATGATACCAACAGAGAGGTCCAAAGGCCAAGCTGGGGGAAGCCAACACGTGGGAGCACATGCAGCAGATCCATAGGGGCTGCAGAATCCATATTTGGGCTCGATAAGCTAAAAGTGCCTAACAGAGAAAGTACTAGAGAATGTGCTTTTGTTAAACATGCCTGATCTCAGCATGGCACTAAAGTACTAGAAAATTTTTGTTTACATGTACAAAACCACAGCAACATTTACAAAACACAGCAATAAAGGTAACAGGAAAATGTTCATCAGCAAATTAGATCTCAGGAAAAATTTGAAAGCTGGGAAGAGGATGGAAGGCTACCTATTGTATCCAACAGGAGCAGGCATTGTACTGCTTGCACATAGGACAGGGAAAAGACCCTTCTTTTCCAGTTTGGCTGCAGGCTAAGACATGGGTCATACTATGGAGGATGGGAGTGAGGTATGACAGGAAAGCTGTGAACCTTCCTCTCATCCCATATGCACACATACTTCTCTCCCACCCCATGTGTGGCCAACCAGGATTTACCCTCCAGCAAGAGGTGGAAAGTTCCTTCTCTGAAATGTTGAATGACTTCAAGTGAGATTGTACATTCTGGCATGTGGGTATCCAACCTAAAGCAGCTCTCATCCTTGCTCCAGTACACATAAAATAAAGCTCCAAAATTCATGAGATTAAAACTGATGAAATAACACTGCTTCTCAGCCTTTTGGCTAAGATCAAGTGTAAAACTGAAATACAGGCAAATTGTCAGTTACAGTTAGATCTTTCAGTATTCTTAAATAGTCATTATCACAAGTAGAAAATCTGTAAGGATATATATAGAAAGCTTAGATGGCACTGTCTTCAGGAGTCATTGACTCCTGCAGGACACTCAGCAGTAGCATGCTAGGCATTCTTTTTTAGCGTACTTATGGGCTACAAAGTCCTTTTAAAAAAGAAATTAAGTCCATAAAGTATGTTCTCATACCAGAACAGAATTAAACTGAAGAATCCCCAGTTGTTTGGAAGTTACTCAACATACTCCTAAATGAGAAATGGGTTAGAGAAAATAACAAGGAAAATTTGAAAGTATTTTGAACTTCATGAATGTATCAGAATCATGGGAAGCAATTAAAGCAATGCTCACAGGGAAAACTGGTATTAAATACTTATCTTAGATGAGAAGAAAGATTGCAAATTGGTCTAAATTCCCAGCTTAAAACTAGAAAAAACACATTTAACAAAGCAAGGAGAGATAAGGAAATGACAGCCAAAAAAAACCCATCAATTAAATAGCAAATGGACAAACAATAGAGAAACTTCAGTGGAACCAAGTCCTGGCCAGTTGGGAAGTTTAATAAAGTTGTCATTATCAGGAATGAGACAGGAGACATCACTGCAGATCTTGTAGGCACTGAGAGTAGGAAAGGAGCTCCATCACCTTTATGTCACAGTCATTACTTAGATGGAGCAGAAAGGTTCTGTCAAAGGCACAGACTACCAAAGCTCACTGAAGAAGGGACAACTTAAATAGCCCTATTAATGGGTTTGTAGCTAATAACCCTCTCATGAAAAGTACAGGCTCAGACGGCACAAGTAAATCATCAGTCATTTAAGGAAGACACAATGATTCTAGACAAAATCTTCCAAGAACAAAAAATCACTTCCCAATTAGTTGTATGAGACCAGCATTACCCAGCTATAAAGATAAGAAAGGGCATCACGAGAAAATCCTGTCTCACCATGAACAGAAATTCATAACTTATTTTTGAAAATAGTACATTGAAAGTAGCATTCTAGAGCCAGGTGTGGTACGTGCCTGTAATCCCAGCTCTAGAGACTGAGGCAGCAGGCTCTTGAGTTCAAGGACAGTCTGGGCTACATAGGAAGAGTCTGTCTCCATAAAAAAAAAAAAAGAAAATGGCAATCTATAAAAGAATGGTAATACTACATAGTAAAGTAATGTTTGTCCTAGAAATTTGAGGTAGCTTTGACATTCAAATAGCAATTTGTTTCATCATATTACGATACTAAAAACACTGACAATTTTAGCCAGGCACTGGTGGCTCATGGCTGTAATCCTAGCCACTCAGGAGGCAGAGATCAAGAGGATCGCAGCTCGAAGCCAGCCAGGCAAAATAGTTCCCCAGACCCTATCTCAAAAAAGCCCAACACCAAAAAGGGCTGGTGGGGTGGCTCAAGGTGAAGGCCCTGAGTTCAAGCCCCAGTACCACAGAAAAAAAAAATTTTTTTAAGTGTAAAAAGTTTTGAAAGAATCTAGCCGCATTCATAAAACCTCTCAGTTAGAAATTACATACTATATGATGAAATAAGGCAGCCATGTCTGCTCTCACCATTTGTGATCAACACTATCAGACGTCCTGGCCAATACAATGACTTTGAAGCTGGGTATGGTGACACACTTGTGATCTCAGCAGTCAGAAGGCTGAGATGGGAGGATCATGAATTTGATTGATACCAACCTGGGCTACATAACAAAACCCTGTCTAAAAAACAAGAAAGTTTGGAAGAATATTTAAAGCCCTTTGTTGTGCCATGATTGTCTATAGAAAAGCATAAGAAGTATATGATAACTAACTAAAATGAGTTTAGTAAGGACAAAAGATACACGCTCAATGTATCAGCATCAAACATCTGAAAGTTGAAACTAATGGAAAAATGCCATTTATAGTAGCATCACGATCATAAACTATATTTGGGGATGAAATTGTCAGAATGTGTGCTCCTACAACTACAAAATGATGCTGAAAGCTTTAAAAGTTCTAAATAGATGCACAATATTCATAAATTTTATAACTCAAAGACTTAGAAAGTTACAACTACTTAAAAAGATAAACTGACCCACCGTATCTTTTCAGTTGGTTTGCAACAAGAATGTAAAGATTTTTATATGGGGGAAAGAACACAGTTTTCAACAAGTTCTATACAAATATGAATAAATAAGGGAAATGGATAATGTAAGCATAAACACGAAATCTATAAAGTGCTAGAAGAAAATCTTCATTAGGACACATACAAAAAACAAAAAAAAGTCACAAAAGGGTTAAGGTGCAGCTCAGTGGTAGAGCACTTGCCTAGCATGTTGGAAGCCCTGTGTTCAATCCCCAGTTTGTTGAAAGGAAAATAATAAAAGGAAGAATCTAAGTAGGACTTCATCAGTTTTAAAACCAGCTACTCAAGAGGCTGAGGCATGAAGATTGTTCAAGACCAGCAAGATCACCATCTCAAAAAAAAAATTATTTGAAACTTTATTAAGAAAATAGAAGTTGGGCTGGCAGAGTGGCTAAGGGGGTAGAGCACCTGCCTAGCAATCGTGAGGCCCTAAGTTCAAACTCCACTGCCCCCCCAAAAAAGAAAATGAAAGTTATGGACTAGAAAATGAAAGGTCTTGTATCCAAACTATATTTTTAAAAAAAAAAACTTAAATTCAGCAATAAAAAGGCAACCTGATTAAAAAGGAGACAAAGCCAGATGTGGCAGTGTACACCGGTTAATCCTAGCAACTCAGGAGGTGGAGATAGGGGGATCATGAGTTTGAGGTCAGTCTGCGCTACACAGCAAGTTCAAGTTAGCCTGAGCTACATAGTAAGACCCTGTCTCAAACTGGAAGACAATAATCGAAATAGAACAGTGTTGACATTAGGACAGGCATACACTGAAATCACAAAAAAAAAAAAAAAAACATTGTACAAGTCTTTTGATTCTTTGGTCATTCGTCCTCTTGAACATCTATCACTTGCTTCTCTTGGGGGTATCTGAAGAGGTCCATTTTCCCTCAAGAGAGAAAAGGTTTTAAGGACTCAGATTGCCCTTGAAGTTTTAACTCAAAGTGTCTTAATCCATTTTCTTTTTTGTTTTGTTTTTTTTTGTTTGTTTTTTTTTTTTTGAGGCAGGATCTTGTTGTGTAGCCCAGGCTAGCCCCAAAACTTGTGGTCCTCCTGCCTCTGCCTCCACACTGCTGGGATTATAAGTGTGCACTGTGCCCAGATTCTTAGTTCACATTCTGTTGCTAATAGCAACAATTGTGATGTCCTTTTCCACAGAAATGGAACAAACAAATTGATTGTGGGGAAAATGTAACTGGGACTGAAAAGTTGTAGCCAGTATGCATGCTGGCCATTCCGCTTATTATTGAAGCTGACATTTTTTCCCTTTATCTCTTGCTCCAGAGAGACCAAGGTTAACACTCTTTACTCTCCAATTAAGCCAGGGAATATTCTACCCCTTATCTCTCTCTGTCCAGTGAGGAGGACTGAACCTGTCAGCCAAGACACACAGCTTTGGAGATGTAGCGCCAGCAAACTGGGAGAACCAAGGTGAGCACCTATTATGGGACATGGGTTTTGCCACATACTCAAACTGAGACCCTGAACTCCGGTAGACATTTTCTTTCAGAAAGGGGATGACAGACAGAGCTTTGAGAGGTTGACTGTCCCTATCCTCCTCTTTGATGAATAATAAACCTTATTTCCTTTCCCTCAAAACCTTGCTCTCAACACTTGTGAACTGACCTTGAGGTCAGGGGACTAGCTTTCTAGTAACACTACCACGTTCATTTTCAAACTGTGTCTCAAAGTTCACCCTGCTCGCCGCCTCCCCAAGCACCGTTCTCCTCAAAATGCCACCATTGTTTACCTGGCTTGTTGCAGTCTCCTGTCAACCCCACTGTTATCCTCCCTAGACTCCACTCAGAAACCAGAATTCTCTTTAAAACACTAAATCTGAGCACATCTTTCCCTTGCTCAGAAACCCTCCAGTGGCTTTTCATGACCATCAGAACAGATCCAAAGTCCACAGACATTGTGGTCTAGGGTCTTCTCACCTCCTGACACTACTGTTCTTCCACTCCAACCTCACTAGCCTTCTTTCTCTTCTGCAAACATACTGACCTTATTCCTATCACAGGCCTGTGTGGCTAACCGTTGCCCCACTCATGGATCTTCACCCCATAGTATTCAGTCTTTGTTCAAATGACATGTCCCCAAGGGTGTTCTTCTGTGATGGCTCTATTTCTCTCTTTATTTTAAATATACTTATTTCCTTATTTCATTTGCTCATTTGTGGAGGACACATCAGTGAACAAGTTTGGATAGTGCTCAACAGTATTGAATCCTGCAGACAGCCATATCAGCATATCAGACTGCAGAGTTCAGGAGCTCTTTCAAATATGTGACAAAATGCATATCCAGAAATGTTGCCTCTTTTCTCACAGTTTATTGGGATCACATCACTGCTCCTCAGCTAAGACAGCTTTTCAGCTGGGCACCGATGGCTCACACCTGTCCCCAGCAAGTAGTTCATGAGACTCTATCTTGAAAAAGCCCTTCACAAGAAAAGGGCTGGCGGAGTGGCTCAGGTGGTACAAGCACCTGCCGAGCAAGCATGAGGCACTGAGTTCAAACCCCAGTGCCACCCCCCAAAAAAGAAAGGAATCTTTAACTGTTTCTCTGTATTAAACCAATTTACAGAACACACACTTGTTAATAGACTCATATATTAAGTACCAAATTTCAATTATGACAGAATGACACAGGTTAAGGTCATTTTGTCCCAAACAACCAAATTCCAAGATCTCTTCTGTAGGCTGCCACTTGAATTTTAAAACAGCCCTTTTCCCCCTACTCTGAGAATTAATTCCTGAATGCTTGCATTGAGATAAGAGCCTCAGATAACATTTTTAAAGAGCCAGCAAATTTTATGGATTAATTTCACAATTGCAATTTAAGAACCATCCTAAAGATGTTTACATAGACACACACACATAGGTGTTTGAAATTAGACATGCTAAAACTGTCAATTCAAGTGTTTTTATTTTCATGAAAAACAACCTGAAAATTGGCCAGAGCAATCAGTTGGTTATTTCCTGCAATTTTAGGGACAAAAGAAGTTTTTGCCCAATGCTTGATAGACTAAAGCATTAAAAACAACACATATAAATAATTATATTAATTCAGAGTACTCTCAGTCCTTTTAGCCATGGGTTAATTACAGTTGTACCTAGTGGGGAACAAAATGGACTCTTGGTTTTTTATTTTTATTCAGATCACAGTAGATCTCCTTTCTCTTTTCTCTTTTCTAGAGGTCTTGGTTTGGTTTTTTCCTCCTTATATTGTCCCTAACTTATGACCTGAGGATCCTAACTTAGCACCCTTGCCCTTTATTTCTCATCTTTCCCTGTGGGCAAAAAGGGGACACAAAGGGGTTATGTTCTAGCAGCCTCCCCCAGCCCAAACATAATCCTGTGCCTGGGGTCCTGTCATGAGTGACACCTGTAGAATTGGCCACTGAGCACCATCTGCCTGGGCCATTACAGCGGAGCTACATAGAGTTACTTCCCTCATCCACCCAGCACAGCTTCATCAACTGGGGAGACCAGGAGTCGAAGCTGAGGAAGGGTGGCACCATGGAACTCTGAGCTCTGCCAGGTGGCCCAAGTTCCAGATATGGTCTCTGAGGTGTGTGAGGTGCCTTGGGACCCCTGCCCTCAGGAAATAATACAACATTGTGTTTCAGTACGCATGTATCCATATGCACTGGGATCACACATGACAAAATGGCCACTTCAAGCCATATGCTTTTGGAAGGCCAGAGTTTGTATCTCAAAAATAATCCTCAAAAACAAGGTAAAGATAAGTGGAATACAAAAGAGTGCATTTCAGGTTGATGCTGGAAAACAAAGCACACAATAGAGGATCCATGTGGGAAGAGCAGTTCACACATGCTGCCCCAGAGGTGCAGTGAGGACCCCCACTCACTGAAAGACCCCTTCTGGGCCCAAGGCTTCAGGACATCCCCGCCTGTGAGTGCTTTCTCTTTGGGTTGAATTTGTGTTTTGATCTCTTTCTATTATAATAAAGTTTTTGCTTTGGCACGCTTTCTCTTTTTTGTCTTGCTTTTGTAGTTGTTTGTTTTGCATTGCTAGGGATTAAGCCCAGGGCTTTGTGCTTGGTAGATAAAGTGCTCAGGTACCGAGCCACATCCCCAGTCTCCTAGTTCATTTCATCACTTTCCTCTCCCAGGCACAAGAGGAGGACCCTTTGGGAAGGAGGAAAACATTCCCCACCAGGCTTTCTTTTTTCTGTTTCACTCTACACAGTTTGTTCTCAGATTCCTTCTCTTTC